CATACCCTATTTGGCATGAAATTTCAGAAATGGCGGAAACCCTAAACCCCGAATTTTTCTTGATCCAAAAACAACCAATTTTTCCACCATTTAATCCTTGAAAAATCTGAATAAAGCTGTTTACAGCCTGAAAAACAGATCACATGCCGAAAAAAACAAAAAAAATGATCAAAAAATGACAAATTTGAAAAAATCCGTGAAGAACACTGTGCAACCCGTGTTCTTCACGGACTCACCGATTTCGCACAGTGAATCGGCGAGTCACTGTGCGGAATCGTCCGGTTCTCTCTAGAACCGGACGATTCCCGGTTTTTGAACCGATCCGGTACCTTTTTCGTGAATTCCGAGTCGAACCGGGCGAGTCCGGTTCGACTCGGCGATTTTTTAAACGCTGGCATTTAGACATAAAGCGACATCACCCGGGTAATGAAGAAGTAGGATTTTATGTAACATTAAATATTTTTATGGAGATTTTTATCGAGGACTAAGTTTCTATAAGGTCTAGGCATTGTGAAAAGAAAGTACAGCTTCACCTGGAACTCTCATAAGGAAAGTACTTTGGGTATTTAAAATCTCCATGATGTCTTTAAAATTGATTTGTAACACCTATTATGAAATTTGGGACTCAAAAAGTAGTGCAGATCTTGCGGTTTTAAGGTAAAATGGACCGTCTAGATAATTTGTTATAATATATATTATTTTTAGACCTTGAAATCAATTTTTATTTTTTTTAAAACCATAATGTTCAAGGCCTTAATGATTGATTTGAATCTTTTCCAATGCCACAATTGCATTTTTAAGTGAGTTTTGAAGTGAAGCTTTACTTATTAGTGAGTGAGGTTTGTATTTCGGTGTCAAGAACTTTATGATGGTTTGAAAATATATTTTCATCTATGGTTATAAAATTTGAAATTTTTAAAAAGATACAGATTGAGCATATCTATAAGCACGTAGAAATATTGAAATTATACTGTCTGGATAACATGTTACAAGATGCACTACTTTAAGACTTGAAATGTATTTTTCTTTTCATATTCATTCATCGAGTTCGATATGATCAATTAAAGGGTTTTTCAACATCGGAACACTCTATTCCATAGGATTTTTAGGTACATTTTTCTTCAATAGTATAAGATTGATATTTGATATAAACTTTTTCTTTCATAAATAAGTGCTACAAAATATATATCGAACTTTCTAAAGTATTATATACGTGGCATCATGTCTTGAGCATGTAACCTCGTGCCGAAAGCAGTGGAAAGATGTGTGTATGTCGTAGGCCAAGAGTCATGTTGATTAAAGGGAAATTATTGTGAATATAGCTATATTTTACTATAATCGAAAAAAAAAAAAACCCAACTTTTCAAAACCTCATATAGACCATTTTTTACAAATTTCGGCTTTTTTTTATCAAAATGACCTTCACAGTAGTTTTTTTACCGTAAAGAACATTACGGTAATTGAAATACTGTAAATAACATTACGGTAATTTAAATACCACAATA